GAGTTGAAGTCCACAGGACTTAAAGTCACCAAGGTTGAGAAACACTGCTTTATAGTGTCAGAAACCATGACCTGTAGTGGACAGTGTCAAGTCAACAAACATACTTAGCAGTAGCAGGGGGGGGGGGGATATTGTAAATAAATTTTATCCTGCTGAAGCAGCTTAAAGCATCTTGTCTCCCAAAACTCATTTGATCTGAGCTTTCTTTGCTCTCATCTACTTTCCCAGTTTTAGAACAGAACCTCAGCTACCTTTTCATGAATGAATTCACCAGTTTTTACCCATATTCAAGAGTAAATTTTAAATCGCAAAATTCTGCGGACTGATTGGATTTGTGGATCACAGCCATGGACTTTCCACACAATCTTTTCTCTGTTGTAAAAGTGGCAACTTTCACTGCACAGACCAATGTAGTATTTATAAATTGATAATGGAGTCTAAAAAGAAATAAATTTCGCCATGTTGACAGTTCACCTACTCTACACCTATTCTGAGATTTTCTAATTAGATTATAAGGTTTTATAGAGTATGCTGTTTATGCAAAATTTGGACCTAAATGGTTATCTTCAACATTATACCACTCTAGTTTTTCAATTTTCTATCTCCCCCACTCCACACCAGTTGGAACTAACTTGTTTTTCTAACTCTTTATTTTAACCATGCTTGAAACAGGTGTCAGTGATTGAAATAATGATCTTGTGCTTTTAAGGTGAGAGCCGAGGTGGCACAGTGGTTAGGTGCAGTACTGCAGGCCACTTCAGCTGACTGTTATCTGCAGTTCAGCGGTTCTAATCTCACTTATGCTGACTCATAAACCGCTTAGAGAGGGCTGAAAGCCCTATGAAGCGGTATATAAGTCTAACTGCTATTGCTATACTTCATTATTTAAATAATGGAATTGCTGAGGTTAGAAGGTATATGGTGCTTTGGAATACCCAGCCTCCAAATGATGTTTGGGAATGTGCATTAGTGTTGAACTTGCAAAATTGGAAAGCAGTTAATTTTTTTTTTACTGGGATTGTGCTGGAGAATGAATCTGAAATGCTTCAGCGGACCTACTAAATATGGCAGAAAAGCTGAAAAAGACTTTCAAAGGAAAATAAGTGTTCAGGGAGCTTAATCCTATGGGTCATTGGTGCTCTGTGAGCCTGGTTTCTTGTAGATGCTTCATTACTTGTATGATGAAAGTGAGAAGACAGGAAGCAACTAGTTCATCCAGGTACTATGGAAAAACAATAATATATTTAATTCTCCCTCATTCCAGACGCTTTGTCTCTCCCTCACCCCAACACCTCCGATACACATCAATGCCTGGAAACAAAAAGTAAACAACAGCCCACTCAAGGAACTAACAAGACCACTCCCAGAAATAGTGATAGGGCAAGCCACTAGTATATGAAATGAGAGCAAACTTCATTCCCTTTTAGTAGTGATATTACCTAGTTTGGTAATGAAACATCTGCAAGAAAAGAATCAATCTCAAAGAGCACTAAGGACCCCACAGTTCAACCTTGAGCTACAAATAATCTCTTTTATTGATGAAAACTAGAGGTTTGATTGGTGTGGAGGTATCTTCTCTGTCACCGCACAACCATCTCTAGCCTTGTGGGATTTCAGGGCTTGCTCCAAGAGATCTCCCCCTTTAAAAAGCAAGGATCTTGTCAAATAAATGTACCTTGGAGGATCAGCAAGGGATATTTCAAAGATCTACAGCCAACATAACAAACCATTCTTTCAAGCTTCAAATTAGCAATAGTCATAATTTTTATTACCAAGTTTCTAAAAAATATGACTAGCATATATGATTAGTGCCAATTGATTTTTGTAAAATCAAAGTTCATTTAGTCGTACATCATACATTAAAGTGGTAAGAAAAATACTGACATTTGAGATTTTATACATGTTCATGTAAAAATTATGTTGCATAAAGTTTTTAATTAGAAAATATGTTAAGTCGGAACAGTACATGACAAAATCCTACACAACACACTTATGGAAGAACAAAGATTTCACAGTTTAGCTTGACTTCATCTGGAGCTGAAAAAAACAGCTCCCAAAAAGTGTATCATTGTAGCCACGTTTTGCTTTTGTTCAGATAAGGTGCACTTAAGAGGCTAATCTGATTCTACAAGGGAAAGTTTAAAATTTTCGTCTGTTCTAAAGGATTAAAAGATCTAAAGAATTTTGATTCTCTGATGAAACAATACAATTATTCACTCTTACATATAATAGAGAAGTTCTAATAAAAAGCAGAGTGTGATGCATATATAAAGTATCTGGGAGAAAACCAGGGGGCCTTGCAGACAAAATATCTTATCCTTTTGGGGTGGGAGGGTATTAAAAGTTGCACACAGGTCAATCCCCCTAGATATTTCTCTCTAGTCCAATGTGTGACATCTTTAAGACATGTGGACTTCATCTCCCAGAATTCCCCAGCGGGTTTTAAGTCCACCTATTTTAAAAATTGCTGAGCTTGAAAAACACAGCTCTAGTCAGAGGCTTCCCTCTTTTGGCTTCTCTCCAAGATGCCAACTGATAAAAATTTTAGAGGTAGTAATATGTAGAAGTCTATGTCAGTTATTGTATACTGAAGCTCTCAGTACTAGGACCGAGATCTCTCTATATATACATCTCAAGCTAATACGTACTATATTATGTTTAAACAGCTTGATTTTTGAAGATTCAATAAGAACGCGGTCGTCATAAAACTCTCTATAGTTCTGTCATCCTGGCAACTGCATTACATTGTAATATGTGATGCAGCCTGTCAATTTAGTAGCAATAAGCACTAGCCTCTCTCCCTCTATATCAGGGGTCTCCAACCTTGGCAACTTTAAGACTTGTGGACTTCAACTCCTAGAGAGTTGGGGGTTGGAAGTCCACAAGCAAAGCTGGCTGGGAGTTGAAGTCCACAAGCAAAGCTGGCTGAGGAACTCTGGGAGTTGAAGTCCACAAGTCTTAAAGTTGCCAAGGTTGGAGACGCTCTATATTAAGAGTTCAAAGATTTTGCCAAACTCAAAAAGAGCTCTGGTTTTCTTGGACATGATGCTGCCTCAAAAATGAAGGATGTTTTTACAGGTACACACACACACACATACACACACACACGAGTGTGCATATTTATATACAATATATATTTATAACATTCCTCTCATGATACAAGCTACCTGATTGAGGCTACAATCTTAAGGAATGGAAATTAAACACAGTATATAATAAACATTTCCTTAATGCTGTAATTGTAAATACAATAGGTGCAAAATGATAAAACATAATCAAAATGTTTACAGAAATGTCAAAAAAAAAACAAAAAACAGAATCAAGGAGTTAAGCAACACCCACAATTCCCCAACCAACATATTTAAGATGTCTAGACTCCAACTCCCAGAATCCTTCAGTCAGCGTGTTTTAAGATGTGTAGACTTCAACCCCCAGAATTCCCAGCCAGTAGATGTTAAGCTGTGTAGATTTCAACACCCGGAATTCCTCAACCAGTGTGTTTTAAGATGTATAGACTCCAACACCCACAATTCCCCAGCCAACATATTTAAGATGTCTAGACTCCAACTCCCAGAATCCTTCAGTCAGCGTGTTTTAAGATGTGTAGACTTCAACCCCCAGAATTCCCAGCCAGTAGATGTTAAGCTGTGTAGATTTCAACACCCAGAATTCCTCAACCAGTGTGTTTTAAGATGTATAGACTCCAACACCCACAATTCCCGAGTCAACATATTTTAAGATGCATAGACTTCAACACCCATAATTTCTCAGCCAGCATGCTTTGAGATATGTAAAATTCAACTCCCAG